AATATATGTCAAGCAAAGAGATTCATTTATGGGCAGCTTCATATAAAATATAACTTTACTTTATATTATAAAAGCAAATGTTCTTGATATAGATTTTGTACAATGCGACTTAATTCTATAAATATCGTGAGTGATTGGATTATTATAGAAGTCCAATTAATTCGAATTCATCGGTCATCCCTTTGCCTTTTTGCAATCATATACTTGTTGTTGCCAACTGGCCTAACTCTTTTTGTAGGTAGGAGCGTTGCATAACCATTCATTCCCCTTAATACCCAAACAGTCTAACACGCCACTCAGCAACTTCTAAATGGGGCAAACTTTTTTCTCGACAAAGCCATAACTTCATCGAATCGACTGAATCACTGTCATTCTGCAGTAAATAAGCTGTAGGTGTGTTCAACGTTTAATATCCCATTGCGGCAATCCAATCATAATGGTATACATGTGCCAAAAGATTCGCGAATTAAATGACTTCTGACTGATAAAGGAGAAGTAAAAAAAAGACGGGAAAATCGAAAAGCACTACGAAGTGACTACAGGGGGTTGTTTTGAAAAATAAACAGTGAAGTAATATAAGGCAAAATAGGTGCTGATTACCAAGCCCAACGGCAGTTTATTGCACTGCGGCTTAGCTGAACTGAGAAAAACGAGCTCTGCACGTACATGCAGGCCATTTGTTTAAGTTTTTTCGGTTTTTTACACGTCTCTCAAGTTCGAGAGATCTCCAACGTTTCCGACATCTTTCCGCGTTTGATGTTGGTTAAATCATTCGTCGCCTCGTTTTAACGCTTGTTTCCTTGCCACTGCTTCGTATTCCCTCTCAAAGCTGGCATTCAATCTTAACTGAGGTCGCTTTACGAATGTTGCCACGACCGTCCTTGCCACCCAACATTCTGCTAATCACTTGTTTTGCGGTAGAACACTACCGACTGGGTTCGGCTTTCTTTTACGAGATCAGTGAAAGAACGGAGCTAGTCCTACAAAGGCGCAGACCATCAAGCGATGCTGCCGCCGCTTGTTTTCTGTCTGAGAGAGCGTCTGTATTGGATTACGTCATTCGATTCCATCACTTCGCCTTGTTCCACTTCCCTCACTCTTCGCGCCTTTTTTACGAAGTAAACCCCCGTCTTTGCTGAGTGTTTCAGGCGATTAAAATTACTCCCCCTGCAACCGTTCCCGCGCATTTAGGTGCTAATGCTAATTCTCAAAGAGCTGTTTTTTTTTCTTGCTGCATAACGCCAAACAGAGTGGACGACGACAAATAATACGGCGCTGCCTCTTGAATGGGTAATCTTTATTTCCAAACATCGATCGACACCCCTTGTTTCGAGGAAGATCGAACCTAATTGGTGGCTTTTTTCTTCTTGCTTCGTTTGTTTAGCTGCGATTCGTTGCTCTTATCGAGCAAGTCCTTTTTACGCTCTACCTGGCTAATCGGGCGACCTCGAAAGGCTACCGTAACGACGGAAGACTGTAGTTACGAGTAAACCCGAGCACATAGGATTCGTAGGATACGGGAGCTGCAGGCAAATCTGAGAACGGTCTTGACTGATGAGCGCTAGTGCCTTTGACTAGTAGTTGGAAAATGACTTACCAGTGATTGGGATAGCCCTTTGCTACTAAAATTTAATTAAGGCTGCTAGTACTTCGTCCCTCATTACTACTACTGCTGCAGGGCTTCGTCATATTAACGACCCGTTACGTGTCCGATAGAATTAGGCTTTTGGACTCGCCTGGTTGAGGTTAACATCGTAGCTGGATGAAGGAAGGACCACACGAGACCGGATATTTTAAGAACGTTTAGTTCGATGACTTTCGCATTAGTAAAAGCCCATTCGTTGTTTGTAACCACCATGACATGAAGGGAGAAGAAAAATATTGCACGCGGCTATCTACACACATGGATACACATAAACGTATACTGACAAAGCAGATGTCAGTCTCCAGTCGCACGAAGGATTCGGTAGTTGAGAGGCGAGAAATATAGACGTATAAGCTTGTTTTTAGGACAAAAAGGTTAAAACCATGTGATATAAAAAATGATAGCCAACAGGCTGCTTCACGAAGAATTTATGCTCTATGTAGTTCGTTTTACGAAGTCTCTTTCATCATTTCTTCATTAGTTGCGACCAATTACTATTCGATTCTGGACAGCTGCATTTCGTATCATATAAAACTAGCGGACGGATCAGTTGATGTACAATAATACCCGTATTCGTAACCAACTTTATTTATTAACATGAAGCCTCTCTAGCTCCCATCTGTTTGCTTTTAACAAGCTAACAAAAGTTTATGACTCTTTTAGTCTCTTTTTACGCCATCCCAGTAAAAAAGGATCTACCAGTTTAAAGAGGAGCTATCAAGCTTTATCAGCTACATTTCTGTAGCGCCAGTGTAATCTATCTGGCCCTCCCTAAATTTGTGTTACGTGTTTACTTCTGAAGACGTCCCGAATACTAAGTTGGTTATAAGTTATGGTGTAGAATGGAATCCCAAACTTAAGTCCCGGATCGAGACTCAACGTAAACAATCTCCTCGAACGGAGAAATCCAGAGTCTATTTTCCCGAGAGATTAAAGGTGATACCTTGTTATGAAGGCGGCTTGGACAAATATCGAACTCCGTTTGTGGAAACAACAGATCCGAGCGCTACTTCTAGAGCACACGTACTCGCACCAAAGGGACGTCTGTGTAGTATATTTCTGCGCACGAGAACGCAATGTATTTTGTCAATGCCCTAGTTATATCATGTTCATAAAGTGCGCAAATATGCTTTGCGTATATTTTGGTTATAACGGTTATAATATACATTGGCATATAGTTTTTATGCTCGGCTCTAGCCTATCGTCCACAGGAGTTCTCTCTTGGGCAATCAGCTTGAAGATAAATTGGTAAAAGAACTAATACAGCGAAGGAATCTTAATCTAATAATTAGGAAGCTGTCGTTATGGCTAGAAGCAGGTCATTAGATAATGCAGCTATTCCACAGCCGCTATTATATCGCAGTCTCCTTTACCTTTCTATATTGCCATAGCACTGGCCCAGCGTCGTCCATACATTTATGCGATTTAGCCGAGAGCACGATCGTAATAAACGCACGTGCCCAGGGTCACCACGCGGATAGGAGTATATCAGCATGGCTTACATGGTCGCACCTGTCATAAAATAGATGTTGACGGTTAGTGGTCTCCAAATGGATTTAACATAGTGTGCACTATCGGTGCACGTGTTGCAGCTAAACAAACCCGGCAAGTCAATTGCTATATTCAACATATAGCAAAAATTATAGTTTATTATATATATATATGTGTGTATATTATACGCAGACAAATTGTCATAATGTTCGCAGTTCATAGTATAATTGTTGGAGGGTATGCAGTAAAAAATGCCAAAAGAAAACACTCGGAGAGTACTAGAATGATTAAATGCTCAGTACGAACATGACACTTGCTTGAACTCCTTATAAGCTGAGTAAAAAGTTGACGTTGGACGGCGGCAGGGTCGAATCGGCTGATTGTATCGGGCCGAAATTTCACAGAATGGTTGATCTGATTGTTGGGCGAGTGTTCTGTTGTTTTCATTTAACTATCTCGCTATAGGTAGTGACTCGGTGCATTCAGTCATAAAGCTAGAAAATGTGCATATCTGAGCTTATTTCTCCACTGTTTTCGGACTGAAAAAATACTGTTGAGACGGAAAGCATTGTTTGAGAAGCTATAGGTAAACGTCCAGTAAGCGTTACCACTTGCGAGTTTTGATCGCTTTAGAGTCGGAGGTTTGAACTTAAACGATAAACTATGCCCTTTTTAAGCAAAATGCGATTTTACTCTAAACTTAAGATTTTACCCAAGCGGCCTTTGCGCAGCAAATGATAACACGGATAACTGTCGTCGATCTCCTGAATGCGCAAAAAATGCCAAAAGGAAAAGCTGCGCCCCCCATGAACTCAGTGCAAAAAAAAAGTCATCTGACAGTATGCTTTTCGTTGCATTATCAAAAAGGCAGTTTCTATACAAGGTCGTTACCGGCGATGAAACATCGATTTTCGACGATATTTCTAAACACGAGTCAAAACTGTTAGACATCTCCAGCTCGACACCACGAAGAAATATTTGCGATTAAGGAAAAACGATCGACTCATTTGCTGTCAACCCGGCAATTGACAAAAGTAGGCCCTGGATTGATAAAGGGCAATGCCACGTAATAGTATTGTATAATTTAGCTATACAAGTACTGCTTTAGTGATCCAGCGAGCGTTCACGAAATTCTACTAAAAAATTCTGCACCACCTGACCAAAGCAAACTCTTCAAAACAGAGACAAGCCAAAAACGTGTCAACAAATGGATCGCTTTTAAGGATGAAACTATTGTACTTTGCCAATTACATCAGCTACCGGAAAGATGGGCAAGGGTTGTGGTTGATACTACGTTGACTAGGATGTGTTCACTCGTTCTAGAGCTGCAATAAATTAAAGCGACTAAAACCAACCCTTTTTCAGTTTAATAAATATCATCAAATTTACGTTTTGGCACGTCGTTTCCTAGGTTACACGTATTTCCTCGTTCCACCTCAAATTTTAAATAAGTATTATAATGGTATCGGATCTACATAAACTTTTCTCTTCCATTCACTAACTAGGGTCTCCAAGAAGGGTCGTTAAGAAAGATAGCCCAGCAAATTTTTCTAATATGACTGCTGTTATACTTTGTGATAAACAGCTAGGCGTTACAGCACCAGACGTGGTCCGCTACCACATTGGCAAGCATCTGGTAAAACTGACGGTCAAAAAGAATCCCATTACATAACCATAATGAATAGGTTACGAGAATACCACGCACTCGCATAGGTTCTTTTCCTTTTCAAATGACAAAATACAGTAAGTATATTTTCAGTTTGAACTTCCTTTCAGGACTATCACGTCGTTAGATAGACGGTAAGTTAGTGATTTTCATTACTTTAAATTTTTTAACTGATGACATGTCACTGCCTATATTTAGCGTCGCTACATACTAACAAAGTTCTTATTGCAACACCACCTTATGATCATTTGCATATAAGAGTACTTCATTACTTGGGAATCGCAAGAGCTCCGGTTAATTGACGATGTCGGCTGCCGCAACCAATTTCTAGCGAACGTTATTAAGCTTACCTGGAATAAAATTAAACACAGAGAATTGTTAGTATCACATTTGAAGATGCCGTATATATTTCACAGGACCTTCGAAACGGGTCCGCTCTTATACATTTATGTCTTTCAAACCAAATATAAGCTATATACAAGCTATAAGCTAACGGGTCGAAAAAGTTTTGTGCTTCCTATACACTCATTATATACGAATCTTTACGAAGTAATGTTAATGCCAAGTCGAAATAGTTTGTGTTATCCGTAGTACCGCCTGGCTTCCAGAACATTATAAAATTATTATTGGATTACGATGACAGATTACATTGTGAAATTAAGATCATCATTAAACTACCTGATGTACTTTTAGGTTCTTCACTAAGGATAAGGATTTTTCAAAAGCGCGTGTCGATCATTTTGATTGTGTTACCTAGTCAGTTAAGAAACCTTAACGGAACTTCAAAAGACCAGGTCTGTGACCTTTTATAGGAGATATAGTGGCTCTATGAGAACTCCATGCCGACACCAAACGATAAACCTAAGTAAATATTACTTGTGCCCTGCCTAATAAACGGATGTGCGTATACTACATAGCTTCATATTAAACATAATTTGAGTTTATTAGAAGCGAGCTTACTGCCCGGCCCGAATTTCTTGGATGGTTCAGGTAAGCTGTACCTTACGGAGGACATCTGGACGTTGACGTTACGCTTATCTAAATCAAGTACGAACCACTCGCTAATCTATCGTTTAATCCCGGCGGTTTCTCTACAGAGGAGCCTCTATGTAGACGGACCCTGCTGGGTGCTCCCTAGTTAGCTCGGGGCCTTCGGTGACGGTTCTCCTCCCCCTACTGTTCCTTACTTGCCAGCACGCTTCAACGCCCAATGCATGTGGCGGCTCCCAGCTAGCCGGAGACTACCAGGGCCTAGACGAGCCTTTCCAGGCAGGCTGCGGAGGTTAATGGTGGCCGACCTTAATGGACTTATGCTGTCTTCACATAGTGAACATCCACGCGCTGACGTGGAAACCGAAGAAGCTCGCTTGTAACGAAGGTACCAAATAAGTACTTTCTTTGTAGAACTCACTGCCTTTTCCCTTATTCTTTCTGTCTGTATCTTTCAGTAAATCCCTTTAGTCTTCGCCGTTTTCCACGTTTAGAAGCCCTGCCTTGACCATATGACCAATGCGATACGTGCTCTTGCGACCACCTGACTATGCAGGCAATTTATATGTGATTATACTTGCCTGACTGCTAGTAGGTAGCGTTGTAGGGTATGTCCATTTTGAAACCAACTGACCATTATTAACATTACCAACAGGTCGCTATAAGAGCTTCTTACGTCCTCCTGGGCAATGAGTCAGAACCTCAAGGTGAATTTGCATTCATCCCCGCTCATAATGAAGGGTACCAACAACTTATAAAAAAAGGGTGAATAAGGAGTTCCTGCTACATATACTGAAAATAACAGCGCTAAAAACACCCAAAATATTTTTGATTCGAAAAGCAAAGGTGAACGATAAAGGTATTAAGCTGTTCAGAGCTATTCAGCGCGTTGAAGAAGTTGATTCGCATTACTATTTTTAATATCATTATTGGTGGCTTGTTTAAACGCTACGCCGCCAATGGCGCGATTGAAGGCACGGGAGCAGCAATTACATGGACTTGAATCTAAAGAATATGCGGCGTCCGATTCCGTTCTCCTTCTTCCAGGTCGCTGTCGTTTGCTTCGCCATGTATCCATGAAACTATTCAGAACTCGAAGTTATCTTTTCTGGTAGTGTCTCATAATAGTAAATGCTCATGAAATCTACTGCAAGTACATAGATTAGCTTGTGTCCAGACTTATTTAGTAGTATCATTGAAGTTGCCTTTTTTGTTACTCGGCGCCATTCTCTCGCCTAATCCTTACCTAGTAGGCTCTGCAGATAGATTCATATCTCATCTGTGGTCTTCGGTTGCTCGAAGCGGATTTTTTTTTACTAACAGTACCGTAAATGGTCTCTGAAGAGGATCAATTTGTTCTGGGCTCAATTCATAACGATTGTATTTTTTACGTTTCTGTTTAAGAATTTCGGAATATGTACTACAATTGCGTGTTCAGCAGCGTGTTGTCTATCCCCTGTTTTGTTCCGAGGTTGCTTCGATGGCACAAAATCGATTTTTCATTCGCGATCGCCTCCTCTGTGGTCTTCCATCACACACACATTTCGTTCGTTCTTATAGTAATTACAACAGCAGAGGCAGTAGCAAACCGTTTCTCAAACGTCCTATGTCCACCAGAGCTAAAATAGATGACCCCTAGTTTGTAACAATGAACGGTGCTAGTATCTGATCGCACTCAAATAACCAGGCACTTACTGTATATATTCACCAAATTTAAAAATGGTATAACACCATTAAACTCGACAAAAGGCCCCGCATAGGGTGACATGTTCGATTTCTTAATATATTAGTAGAGCATTCGTGGCAACATAAACTCAGTGACATTGTCTCAGAGAAGCCCGCGAAAATCAGATCGTAATTGGGCTAACAACTCCTTTATCCAACCTGCCCAGTATCGAACATTTTGCTCTCAAAACTGAGTTGAGAGCTAACCTTTCCCGCATTTTATACAAACGTTTACTGGGACGAGCAATGAAAGACGGTACGATCTGCCAACGCGACTGTGAGACAACAGGTAAAGGCATGATTAGATGCCAGGTCCCTACGCGGTGTTTTTTGCTTGCTTAACAGAAGCGGTAGCGGGTAATAGATAACAGAAAGAGTTGCGCGATGGCAAAAGGAAAGAGAACGCAAGATCAAAGTCGACCGGTTGGTCGGCGTTTAGTAGAAGGGGTCTGGCCTGAAGCGCATGACAAAGTACGCCAAATAGTTAGAACAAAGACGAAACAGGGAATGACAAAAGTGCCTGTAAATCGTACATTGGGGGGGCAAGTAGCGAACACCAACAACTTAAACGAACTATGCCGCGTCAACTGTGCACTGTTACTCGATACATTTTGGTGGAAAACGAGGGTTATTCATAGTTACGAACATAGTTATGAAAACAAGGGGCAGCCAGTTGGCTTTTGAAGTAACTTGCTGCAAACCAGCTCAGATAATCCTGGACTACATAAGAACTTGGCAGCCAATGACAAAAAGGGTATGATATGGGAAGATATTTGCCGAGTGTCCGATCGGGTTATTTCGAGACGACTGCTTGACACTACCGACGGCAGATTTACCCAAGTGGAAAAACATGGAACAAAAACGAACCGATTATTAGGGCATATTACTGGCCGATTGCCTTGCCAGCAACAAGCAAGGACTTGAAACGACCTTTTTTTTTTAATTCTGTTTCCTGTTCCTCTTTTTTTTTCTTTATCCTAGTCCTTTATTTTTATCAGTACTTTACCGTTCTCAAGAAGCTTTATTGTCAATGTCTGCATCACCACGAATGGATCCGAGAGTGTAATCGAAGTATAAGTAGACGCTTTTTGCAATTAGATCAGAGTCAGTCCTTCTTTAAGACTCATTTAAGTGAAATGTCCTGGTGCCTGCTTAAATCCTTTCTAATATAAACATATGCAAAACTGTTCGCTGATAATTTTTTGTATATGTGCTAGTACTTACAAAATAGAAATGAAAACAGTTATAGTCGTAGGGTTTTTTCCAGCGCAAATTTATGGAGCATCATTTTTGGAGCGGAACAGCTCACTAACCGTCCTGCATAGTGGATAAAATGAAGGTGGTTTGAAATCTTCGCATATATATATATATATATATATATATGAGCCAAAGGTGTTTAGATCGCCAGAAGTCTTTATTTTACAGTTGTTCGAGTAGCAGAAAGAACGCAACTTATTGCAAAAAGTAGCCGATTTAACTGTGCAACATGTTTGTAACAGAGACATACCGGACCCACTGTTTATTATATTACCTTCGTGCATTGTCACCGCTATAAAATATCTACCGCTACAAAAATACTAACAGTTAATAACAGCAGTATAAACATTATAGTTGTGCATGTCAGAAGTCCAATTTAACGAATCGATAACCACCTGCATGTTGCCACTGAAGATTTATGGCACAAAATTTAAACTGTCCTATTTAGTGATTGATTAATTACTTATTACTAATGCTTTAACATTTTAACAGAACTTAGAAGGATCGTATTGGAGTGTTTCTGTTAGAACAGTTAAAGTTGTTCTGTATTGTGCCTATTTCCTGCTACTTTACAAACATAAAATGAAGACTCCAACTATCCGAAAGCTTTCGGCCCGACCTGTCAACGTATATACTTATATCATATAGAAGTTCCGGAGGCTGTTTTACATAAAGATCTCTATGGCGCATGAACATTAACACCATTTATAGATTCATCGAATCAAACAGAAGCACATTTTTTCCTTTTGAACGAAAAGCAAAAAAAAACTTTCGTAAAGAATTGAAAAGTAATATATAATAAAAGCACATAATTTGTTTTTAAATCTTGCCAATTGTGCTTAATTATATAATTCTAAGTGTTTATGTAGTCAGTCGCCTGCTTTTCCAAAGGGTAAATCAAACGTTGTAGGTAAAATCTTTCAAAGTAGCACAATGTGTTTCAATGCGAAATATTTGATGTTTTACTATGTATGCCGTACATGACTATATCAGGACAAATTTCCAAGAAATCGACATATATATATATATATAGTATTGGCTTAATGCTCTGTAAACAATACAAATGGTACACATTCGATTTTAGTAAATACTAACAGAAACTTAATTTAAATAATTATAATCTCGCTGTACAAGCAGAAAATGATTTCAGCCGATTACATAATTGCATTGGTAGCGCAGCAGAGGTTTAACTGATGCGAAGAAACAAAGCATTACGTGGGGGTTTTCTTGAGTTCTGCATATTCATCCATCTGAACGCTTGCGTAGCATACAATCTCAAGTGTATATTCCATCTAAGGACGCCCTTAAACCGGCATGATTACACACTAGTCAACTTTAGCTGGAGCTTAGTATTGAGAGCCTAGTGTTAGTAGCGGACGCCCCCCTATCTCTCAGACGTGATACGAATGATAAACTGAGAATCTAAGTTAAGATCTTAAATGGAACATAATGCCTCTTAACAGTTAAACATTGTATCATCTCTTTTTGCATCGCTTACCTCTTCTTCAACCTCTCCTGCACGTTGAATGCTCTTGAAGAAGCCGCATCTTCGGATACAGACCCATATCATTTTCAAATGCGTCAGTGGTATGGCTCAGCTCACAGCCTCTCGTCATACGAAAAAGCCGACATGCCATGGGCACTCATCGTTTCTAACTCGAAATCGCTCTGCGTAAGCAGTTATACTATTTAACTGCTTCTACTACGTTGTGGGCTTTCAGTGATCTGACAATAATCAGGAGTATGCGATACTGATCAATGGAGTATTCCCTTTTTTTTTTTAGAATATTTGCGACGGTGAGTGTTTTCGAAAACGCCTTAAGTTGGTAACGTCATAACCATAACATTTTCATCTAAGGAAGGCAAAATCCCATTACAGGATAATAAAACTGCGTCAGAAGCGGCTATAGCATATTTCAAAACTAGACAATTTCGGTGGACTCAAGTAAGAAGAGTCGACCCAGGGTCTCCAATACAAAGAGGAAACCAATTAAAAGATAATTGATTTTTGCTTGATATATATGATGTTGAAATAATCGAGCGCTTGAAATTTCTATTTTCACAATTGTTATGGCACTTGCAAACAGTTCAATATTGGCTGTGTAGTACACGACATGGCACTGAGTCGTGACGAAGCGAGGCTGTTACGTTCTGTAAAGTCATTGGTTTCTGAAAAGCTCATTTAAGATTAGTGCTTAATATTTGGCTGCAGCTAGCGCTTTGAGATAAGCTATCCATAACCAAAGACACCCGTACATTTCTCGGATGCTTTTAGTCGACGTTCTAGTAGGTATAACTTGAATTGTCTCAATATTTAAGCCGCCGTGTTGTAGCATTTCGATTATTCAAAGGCTTGGGGTAAAGCTTTTTTTCTACTGTCTTCTTCTACCTCCTTGTTAATATAATGCGTCTTGTTCACTACAAATTAAGCCACCATCTGACTTGTCTCTACCTCTTTTCATCTTGATTTGGGATGCTCTATTTACCACGGTATCCGCATACGGCACACGCTGCACTATATCCTTAGGGCGTCAAGGCCGACTTGCCGTAGTCAATAAGCTCACTCGTGGCAAAGCAAAGCAAAGCAGTAGCTCTTTTCCTAATTTTCGGCAGTCCTTCATCTTCTTTACTTTGCCTCTTCGACATCCACACCTCTGCAAGTACCGCCCGACCGTTTTTAGTGAAAGCGACGCTTAGCGCTGAATTGCGTCATCAGGTCCTCAAGCAACGTAGTCAAGTGATCGATATCTTTTCGACTACTAGGAAGAACCAGGAACGTAATCGTGGTTTCTTTGCCTGCTTCGTTCTCTCCTCACTTTGGCCACTTACCTGCCCACTACACACCGGGCGCATTTCGCATTCCCAGTGTCGACACTGCCAAATCATGATTGACTACTAACCGATGACAACAACAGTGTAGGCGGCAACTACGATCACCATGCTCTCAGACCTTAAGGTGTAGCAGAAAAATAATAGCCAAGAACGCCTTGCTATAAAAAAACGTTGAAACGCTGTTGACCCATGCCAGGCCCAAGCAATGGCAAGCTTCCTAAAGTGCCCCGCATGTTAGACTTTACACACGTTTCCTTTTAGGATGGCATGTGGCATCAATGCAATGCAATGCAGGTTAGACAAGGCTCTAAAAGAGCTAAGATGAATGGTTGTATATTAGGGGAAGGAAAGCAAACAGTATGGAAGTGAAAGAAGGATAAGAAAGAGGATGGCCGATTCGTACGCGTTTGACTGCCCACAAAGTGGCGGTAGGCCGGCTAGACATAGACGAAATGTAAATTATAAAAGCAAAATCCCGTTCATCAAAAATGCAACAAGCATTCACTAAGCGTAAATGAATGTAGGATTACTGGGTAGCAGTAACCCTACATCCATTTAATCAAAGGGCGATTACAAAAATGTGTCCTGTTTTTGGGAAACACTGGCCTAATATCCAATGTTTTTTACAAAAAATCTCCAGTAGCATATCAACGTCGATGTTTGAATGCATCTTTATGCCAAGCTTAGTTTAAAGTATTGGAACAATTATGAGGCTTAGGAATACAAAAAAAAGGTCAGGCGAAGTTAGTCAATTTTCCTATGTTCTGCGTTTTTATCACTTTCGTTTATTTATTAGTTTAGTTAGCCTTAAATCACTATACATCGGTCGATTTATAACTGAGATGAAAAATACGTTACTCAAAACATTGTCAAAGGGCCGAGAGAAAGTATTGCTAATACGTTGAAAACTTAGAAATTCGTGTAATCGCAACTCACTTAGTCATTTGTATAAACCAGTCTAAAAAAAAAACCCGAGTCAGAGCACAGCTTTAAACCTGTTAATAAATTCTAGCCCAAATTTTGTTTTTATTAAACAAGGCCTTACTTTAATAGCAAAGAAAGATTATAGTTGTCCCGCTTGATTGAAGTCAATTAAATAAATCGCATGATTTGGCAATAAACACTGATTTCATGTTTCCAAACCATACCTGTTATCTTCCTTCTTTGTACATAACGTTATTACGGTTTTGGTTCATCCGTGCTTTGTGCAGCTTGCCGATTATAACTTTAATATTTAAATATAAAAGGCATGACCGCGCGTTTCGTGGCTCTATCATTCCTGGTCGCCTCGGAGTTGACTGCAACTCTTCATGTCATCACTGTGGTCGCAATCAAGACTTCACCGTTGCCCTATTTAGTCCATGTAGCATATTTACTTGTTCACAAGCCCATTCATCTTCCAACTGCGGATAGCTAAACGTTATCGTCTGAGGAACATTTGCATCGTAAAGGGCTGTGCGCAAGACAGAACGAAGCGGCTGAGGGCTGCAAACCGGTTTGCGATTGTGTCTCGCTACGTTACCAATGACGCAGCTGTAGCAGTGGCAAGAGGAAGGGCAATTGGTAAAACGCAAAGTGAAGAGAAAGAAAACGAAACAGAAGAACCAGGGACGCTTACTCGCATACTCCTGACATTGATGAAGCCATTTGTGAAGAGGCAGGCGTTTACGGGATCTACTACGGCTGGAGCCGGCGCGGCTGCCTTCGCTACATTCGAAGAACAAAAGTCCTTCACCCATAGTTTAGTGCATACAGGACAACGCTGACTGGGACTAGAACGGATCAGAAGAAAGAAAAGTAGTAATAAAAAATGGTAAAATGTCGAGAAAAAGCGCGAAAGAAATACGAAGGTAGCACTAACAGTCAACCATCTCGATTGAAGGTGTAGACTAATGCTGTCAGCGTGAAAGTGTCATTCGCAGAAAACGCGATAAGAAGTTAGTCGTAATAAGCGAGAGGTAGCTGGGTTAAGAAATACGCTTGTAGAGATGTATGCTGCCGAAAGCCACATTAACGCTTTGTCGGGGTTGAAGAGGTAATACAATTGAATTCTGTACAACATATGCACCGGATGGTTACCCACACGCAATTGTAACCATAGTAATAATAACTGGCAACAAAACATCAACTAATGATTATTTACAAAAAAAAATACAGCTTTTACGTAGTTATATATTTATTCTTCCATTCCTATATATTTTGGTTGGAGTGACTAATTGATAACAAAATAGACAGGCTGATTGACTAATAAAATTACTGAATAGATACAATTAATCAATACAAACAGGGTCATGGTAATTCTCAACTGACAATAAACAATCTTAACTTTACTTACAGCTCTCGCAGCCGCTTGACAATCGTATACAGTCCGCGAATTTGAAGACGTTAGGAATGGCCAGGACACGAAAGGCTACATGCTTTTCTCGTTGTTCGCAACTAATTCGTTCTTTTTGTTTGTTTTTTGGATGCCTAAACAACATCGGTGTGTCCTCTGTTCGCTCTCAGTCTAACTTTTTATATCGTCGTCGCTGTCGCTGCCTTGTCGGACTAAGGGCAAGAGTATTACTGTCTAACTGCCAACTATTGACCAATAGCAAAGCATGCGAATGCTAAAGGGTCTATATTATTTTCCCTCTCACTTTTCCTCGTCTATCTTTCCCTTTTTTGATTCTCTTTTCTTTCCACGCCCCATCGGCGTGGCAGTGCTATCAAAACTGACTGGCTGATAGGACGGTCGTTTACTTTGAATATATAATTCCTATTCAAATATTTTATGCCTGGCTCTATGATGGTGTTTGCAGCAAGCTCATTGGGTTTTTTGGCTGCAAAACCATTGCCTACAACGGAATTCTTCGTTATTACAAAAGGCAGCTTGAAAAGGAAAAAAGAAGAATAGTCTGCAAGGCCGATGAGGCATTCGAGCTGTGTTGGGTTATGCGCAGCCAGCTTAACCCGGAACACGAACTAGCTAGAGGAAGGAAAGGAGGTGTGGTTCTGGTCGTGAGTCTATATCTGTTTTACTAATTTTTCTATGAACAGAAAACAACGTTCGGCAGAATCCCTGGGCATGCTGAAAAAATGCGGGTGTCGACGGGGGTAAAATGATGCTGACTCGGCTGGGTACGATAACAGTGAAATGCACGTGAAAAGCACGATAGGTGAATGAGTGCGTGCTGCTGCTTCTGCTACGGAAAGGTAAAGACAGACAGAAGAGGCGCGGCGACAGCTAATTCAATTTTACGGCGAACAGGCCGAGAACAGGAAGTTAGGCATGCCAGTTCGCTGTCAGCTACGGAAAGAAAGCAGCGGCCACGATCACGTTAGGGCAGCAAGAATATAATCTGACATGTAGGACAGTTGGAGGAAGGAACAAATTAAAGGGATCTATTCTAGAGCTAGGAAAGTCGGAAAAACTAAAATAGAGTCTTCGCAGTACAAGAGCCAGCTCCCTCTCCAGCCCTTTTGAATCCCCGCATCATTACAAGGTTATAGTTCCTACGTACGCGTGCAGTGTGCGTCATTTCGACCGTCCTGAGCCTCAGTGACACGTAAGAAATCCTGAAAGCTCTTTTTTCTCCTTTTTGCTACTAATTACTGCATTTTCGCAAAAAGAGGATAAATTCTCTGGTACACTTATCCCTTGTTATGCATCACTGCCATTGCAGGTCAACCACAACAGGATGCAGAATCGCGGAACAAGCAGAAGAAGACTATGAGAAATGAAAAAAAATTAATAACTAAGGGCCTAAAGACGCCTCAGGGAGACACTGGATTGTTTGCACAGTTATATTAAAAATCCATGCAGAAATATTGTGAATATAATTTATATCATGGAGATTATAAAATCGATGAACGTTCTTATCTCACGACGCGTGCAAAATAGTCAAACAAAAGGAAATGCATTTGGCTGGCAAGAGAAGCGCCGCCGCAGAGGACGACGGTTCATGCGGATCTAGCCATTTAGAGTGGTGTCTGGGTAATCATAGCTGTTCGCTACTGTGTAACTTTGTGTTCGAGAGAGCTAAAGAAAGAACAAAGAAACAAAATAAAAAGTGTATAGAAACAGAAGTAAAGGCAGAGGACTAGAAATAGGGAGCCGGAAAAAATATAAGTTTTCAAACGTTGAGCTGGTGAAAACAAGCATACAGGACGTGTAGTATACTTATAGTGGCTTTGCCGAAGATCGCAAGGCTTCCCTTCTACAAAGTAGAACTTTTTCTCGTTTCATAGCCTGCTAGCATCGCTTTTGCTGTGGCAGATCCACAGGCGCCTAATAAACACATGGACACAGATGAACAGAGAGAGAGAGAGAGAGAGAGAGAGAGAGAGAATAAACTCTCACCAGCCGCGGGTGTCGGGAACGCCGGGTCCGAGCTCGAGCACACATTTCATGCCTATGTCAAGCGATACCCATCAACTAAGAATCGAGACGGCGTCGTGAACTTTTCGGTGCACCAAGCCACGAAAAAGGAGGCAGACCCCGGAAAAGCTTACCAATAGCAGTTTCAGCAGCCAACGCTAGCCCAGTGGTGCTTGTTTTCGTATTTCCATGGTACAAACGCTGCATTTACTCCTGCCTATGTTTAGGCGCCCATCCACGTGCGCAGAATATTCAACTCATTCTTCCATAGAGGGCCGTTATTTGAACAATAAATTATACATTGTCGCGCAAGATGAATTGCCGTTGGCTAGTATTACATAAATACGTATAGAAAAGTTAGCGAGAGAAGTAAGCGACAATACCTGACATCGACTCTTTGTACTGGTTGCGCTCGGCGGAGCTATGCAAATCGAAGTATTTGCATATCTTGCTTGCTTGACTTCAAAAACTACTCCCGGTTTGTGTGCAGGGAATTGTCGGATAGGTAAACCACATATACTCTATGTAAAAACAATATAATGGGAAGAGTGTTAGCTGCAGAACTCGGTCTTCCATCACAGTTCGTTGTAATCGTCGCTTTAGTTGCAGCATTATTCACAGCACGTGTTTATTTCGACACTTTTAAAGGCTTAAAAGCTCATATACTCAAAGGCTTTCATATGTGTTCGCTTTTATGGATAGAAACAATGATCGTCGCACCTTTGACAATTTCATAGCTATAAACACATAAAAGCAATATTATTCCGTGCCTAGAGTTGCCCTCGCTGTAGATATACTTAAAAAAAATGTGTTTTGTTACTTGCTTTTCGACAAAAACAACAACTTCATTTTTTGTAAAAAGTATACATTCAAATTATATATATAAGTTAAAAAATGTAAAATAACTGTTTAGTTGTAAACATATTCACCGGGAGGGAGATTTTCAGAACTAAACCAATCCTGCTTGGTCGGTTCTGTCTCTATTATAACTGTGATTCGCCAATGCGACTTGCAACGTCCAAGAAGGATTTTGACAAGCTAAAGCCGCTGACAAGTAACTACAGCTTTTGTAGATCCTTTTTTCTTAGGAAAGGATCTATGAGCAACACTTCATCTATCACACACATTGTCTAAAGTCCCCTCTTAAATCTACCCTTCGATTCTCGACAGACTTGAACTATTTTCTTGGACATTCAATACTCCGTGTAGCACCCCTGTCAAAATTATTTTCGCCCATGATGAAAACGCTTTACTTCTGGAATTGACTGATTTTCATCGAAAAGCTGACGCGTCCCTATTAGTGGCTTGAAGTGAACGCAATCCTTTCTAATGTAATCAGCTAACAGATCCGAACGCTACTAAGGGTAAATACCTAAATATTTATCCTTAGTGGCGTAAAATATTAAATATTGCCAAAAAAAAGGAAAAAGTAAATATATAGAACGTCACTCTGTTACACTACGGATGACATAATGTGCCTTAGTCTACACATCTAAATAGATCAGTCTTACGTACGATGCCGTTCCGAATTTTTCCGTTAAGGCTAGGCCAGCTACGTCGAACAGAAACCCAGTTTCTAAATTGTATAAGTAGATGAGGCAGTAAACTGTTTTCTCATATAAATATTGTCTCATCTTGACTCGTTGAAATACTATAATATTTTCGTCTCTCTTCGAAATACGTAGCGTTTTGGAGCGGAAAGGCAGAGTCTGAACGTAATACGTTCTTCCGCCAAATTACGAAGGCGGTTGTCAAACTTTATCTACGAAAATTACACTTCTGATACCTTCTAAACATTTCGTTTAATCACCAAGCTGACCTGATTGTGCCATTGGGTAAATGGAAGTATAATGAGAAAACTCGTTTTAAAATTACTTCATTCTTCTTAAATTAAAGTAGATCCGGTTTGAGGGAACGTGTCACGTCGCATAAAGTAATTGACTATTAAAAGGAAATATCCTTAAAAGTGACGAAGCATATATATACACATAGTGCTCACGAAAAAAGTGTCAACTATCGACAAGAAGTTATAAGCGGATAACGAGGTGGAGTAAGATCATAAAGACCCTAATAACTAGCGTCTACGAGACACAAAGGCCGTAATCTATGAAAAATATTATGATGATAGTGGTCGCCACACATTTGGCGGATAGTGGATTACCCCAGCTGTGGCGCAAACCAAGAATTGGTTAAACAAATAGCTTTATTGGCTGATTGAGGGTTTATACATCGAAATGCAATAAACATCGATAGATGGAAAGATCATGACGATATACTATTACGATACAAATAAAATGGTTAAAACCAAGGCTCTGACACTTGATATATCATAAAGAAACATACAAAATCATTGAGAATGCAAGATATTTTTATACATATAGCACGTCAGGTAATAGTTTAATAATAGCTGCATAATTTTTACTGGGCTTTTTCTATTGGGGCAAGAGGCACATGTTGGCATCGTGTCGGCTTAATGCCACATCCGCACTCATTTGCATACGAATAATAATAATATTGTATATGCGTCTAAATTTGTTCATACTTCACACTGTTAAATATAGATACATCAAATGGGGAAGGAAAAGTGTTTTGCAAAAACTCCTAAATTTTTCATATTTAACACATTTTCCTCACCGTCTGCTTCTCTAGTATGATACTTCGTTTTAAAGTTATTCAAGGAACCTCGAGAACAACTAAAGTTAGCCTTTTTATGCATATTATAATAATAATAGCTTTGAAAATTCGTCCGCATCCGAAGGCCCATGAAACTATGGGATAAGATTACGCGGAAAAACATTGTTAAGATGTGTTCACTCGGAAGAAAAATTCAACTCTAATTACTAACTCTAAGACCGATCTGCTATTTTGTCACTCATCAGACGGCCAAACTTCCATGATGTACTAGGAACGTAACATAATTTGATAATTCTTCTTGATTTCATACAGTCCGTCTGTATATTACAGTGTGCATAGTCGATTCCGATCTGAAACGTAGGACAATGCCCTTCCCCTCTGACGTCAGTCTTTCATATTATTTCAAATGTGAATGAAGGCTTTTAAAATAAGTTTTGACTAAAGCCAAGAAGTTTAGCTAGGGATGTGGCCATGGATGCCCGTTTTTGTATTGGAAGAGGATTGTAAATTGGTCATTGGTGC